TAATTGATAGAATTGTGTTTATGACTTATTTTGATATACGGTATAAGGTGATGATCTAATTTTATTTTTTTCTAGACACTCACTTTTCCCCAATACTCTGTGTTGTTTAGTCTCCCTATTGGTTGACGATGCTCCTTTTATCATATAATAACTACTTAATTTAATGTAATTGGGCCAATTTTGGAGTTTTATTCTACGCCATTAATCTGTCTATTATTGTGTTGTAGCCATGCTATTTTAATTATATTAGCTTTATGGAGGAAATTTCTCTATAAATCTGTCAAAAATTTTTATTTTCATGGGTTTAGTATATAACAGAAATTTTGGAAATTTGCATTGTCATATTCCTGTAACAATCTAAGAACACAGATTATATCTTCTTTTATTTAAGTTTTTTTGTGTCTCAGTGAGATGTAGTTTGGTACATATGCTTTCCATACATACCTCATTTTAAGTATTCGTATTATTTTACATTTTTTGGTTGTTATAGCAAATGGAATTTTTGCCTTTATAACTTCTAAGTGGTTATTGTTGGAGAAAAATTTTAAATCTGTATTGATTTTTATATTTTTATTTGTATTCAGCTACCTTCTAAACCCACCTAGTAGTTAAAATAAAACTTCAACTAGTTCTTTTTGATTTTGCAATCAGAACATCTGCACAGTCACATTTTTGCTTCCTCTTTCCCTTGTAATTCTAGATGACTTACTGTGTTAGCTTGAAATACCAGCAAAACAGTAAATAACAATTATATGGATAGTATCTTACTTTAATTTCTGCTGTTAATGGCAGCCCTTTTAATGCCTCATCATTCAGTATAATACCTCTTGATTTAATGTAAAAGTTTTTTTTCATATTAAAAAAATAGTCTTAATGAATTTTTTAAATCAAGAGGAGTTTACCTTTAAAGCATAAACCTTTAGCCTAATCAATTAATACTAAAAATATTATTTTTAATATTATAACGTTTATGATAAAATTATTTGTTGGGAGAATTATTACTAGAGGAAGTTTTTCTTAAGAATGGGAAGGACAACATAGCTTTACAATTTCAGATTGAAGACCATTTAGTATACCAGTAAGGTTCAGTATGATTTATATTTTCCTTTGCATATTCAGGGACAAATACTTACCTAATAAGAATTAGTACCTGAAGAATAATTAAAATTAACAGTATGAATTGTGTATTGTAGAATGAGTGATTATTAAATGGTCTGATAAACATTCTAGGAAATTTCTCAATTTAGTACTATATAGCCCTCAAAGTTTTCAGAAGTACAGTCAGTAAAGCATTACTTTTTTTTTTCTTTTTGTAGGGGTGTCATACAATTTTTTAATTAAGTTTAAAAATTTTAATTTCCATATAATCAACATACAGTGTGATATTAGTTTCAGGTATACAGTATAGTGATTCAGCATTTCTATTTATTACTCAGTGCTCATCATGATAAGTGTATTCTTTAATCCCCATCACCTATTCCACCCATTTCCCCAACCACCTTCTCTCTGGTAACCATCAGTTTGTTCTCTATATAGTTTGTTCTCTATAGTCTGTTTCTTAATCTCAGTCTCTGTCTCTCTCTCTTTCCTTTGTTCACTGTTTTGTTTCTTAAATTCCACATATGAATGAAATAATATGGTATTTGTCTTTCTCTGACTTATTTCACTTAGCATAATATTCTCTAGTTCCATCCCTGTCACTGAAAACTAAGATTTCATTCTTTTGATGGTATATATATATACATATATATATATATATATATGTGTATATATATATGTATATATATATATGTGTATATATATATATATCACATGATATATATATATATATCAATCACATCTTCTTTATCCATTCATCTTTCAATGGACACTTGGGCTGCTTCCAAAGTTTGGCTATTATAAATAATGCTACTATAAACATCAGGGTGCATGTATCCCTTTGAATTAGTGTTTTTGTATTTTTTGGATAAATGTCCAGTAGTGCAATTATTGGATTATAGAGAAGTTCTATTTTTAACTTTTTGAGGATCCTCCATATTGTTTTCCACAGTGCCTGCACCAGTTTGCTTTCGCACCAACAGCTCACGAAGGTTTCTTTTTCTCCACTTCTTTGCCAACACTTGCTGTTTCTTGTGTTTTTTTATTTTAGCCATTCTGACAGATGAGGTAATATCTCATTGCACTTTTGATTTGCATTTCCTTGCTGATTAGTGATGTTGAGCATCTTTTCATGTGTCTGTTGGCCTTTTGTATGTCTTTTTGGAGAAATGTCTCTTGGTGTGTTCTCCCCATTTTTAATTGGATTATTTGTTTCGGGTATATTAAGTTGTATAAGTTCTTTATATATTTTGGATACTAACCCTTTATCACATATGTCATTTGTTAGTGTCTTCTCCCATTCTATACATTGTCTTTTAGAATGTTGTTTCTTTTATTGTGCAGAAGCTTTTTATTTAATGTAGTTCCATTAGTTTATTTTGCTTTTACATCCGTTGCCACAGGAAGCATATCTAGAAAAATATATCTACAACCAGTGTCAGAGAAAATACTGCCTATGCTGTCTTCTAAGATTTTTATGGTTTGAGGTCTCACATTTAGGTCTTTTAAGGGTTTTTGTGTATGGTGAAAGAAAATAGTCCAGTTTAATTCTTTTGCACGTAGCTGTCCAGTTTTCCCAACACCATTTGTTGAAGAGACTTCTTTTTCACTTTGATATTCTTTCTTCCTTTGTCAAAGATTAATTGACCATATGATCGTGGGTTTATTTCTGGGTTTTTTATTCAGTTCTGTTGAGCTGTGTGCTTGTTTTTGTGCCAGTACCATACTGGTTTGATTACTACAGCTTTTAAAAAAAAGTTCTTTTCAGTGTTTATTTTTGAGAGAGAGCGCACACGCATGAGCACGCATGAGTGGGGGAGGGGCAGAAAGAGAGAGGGAGACACAGAGAAGCAGTGTCCAGGAGTTGAGCTGTTAGCACAGAGCTCGCATCCACAAATCATGAGGTCATGACCTGAGGCAAAGTCAGAGGCTTAACCGACTGAGCCACCTAGGCACCCCAATTACTACAGCTTTGTAATATAACTTGAAGTCTGGAGTTGTCCTACCTCCAGTTTTTTGTTTTTGTTTTTGTTTTTTTTTTAAGATTGCTTTGGTAATCAAGGTCTTTTGTGGTTCCATACAAATTTAAAGATTGTTCTTTTTTCATGAAAAAGCCTGTAGGTGTTTTTTTTTTTTTTTTTTTTTTTTTTTTTTTTTTTTTTTTAATTTTTTTTTTCAACATTTATTTATTTGTGGGACAGAGAGAAACAGAGCATGAACGGGGGAGGGGCAGAGAGAGAGGGAGACACAGAATCGGAAACAGGCTCCAGGCTCCGAGCCATCAGCCCAGAGCCCGACGCGGGGCTCGAACTCACGGACCGCGAGATCGTGACCTGGCTGAAGTCGGATGCTTAACCGACTGCGCCACCAGGCGCCCCTCCTGTAGGTGTTTTGATAGGGATTGCAGTAAATTTTAACAATTTTTGTTTTTAACAATATTTGTTTTAACAATATTTGTTATTCCAGTCCATGAGCATGGAATGTGTTCCCATTTTTTTTGCATTGTCTTGAATGTCTTTCATCAGTGTTTTACAGTTTTCAGAGTAAAAGTCTTTCATCTCTTTTGGTTAAGTTTATTCCTAGGTATTTTACTGTTTTTGGTGTAATTGTAAATGGATTGATTTTTATTTTTTGAGAGAGAGAGAAAGAGAATGAGTAGGGGATGGGCAGAGAGAGAAGGAGAGGGAGAGAAAGACAATCCCAAGCAGGCTCAGCAACGTCATTGCAGAGCCTGATATGGGGCTCGAACTCATGAACTGTGAGATCATGACCTAAGCTGAAATTAAGAGTTGGATACTTAACCAGCTGAGCCACCCAGGCATCCCTAAATGGGATTTTCTAAATTTCATTTTCTCCTGATTCATTATTAGTGTATAGGATGCAACAGATATCTGTACGTTGATTTTTGTATCCTGAAACTTTACTGAATTCATTTATTAGTTCTAGTAGTTTTTTGGTGGTGACTTTAGGGTTTTCTATATATAGTATCATGTCATCTGGAAATAGTGAAAGTTTTACTTCTTCCTTACCAATTTATTTATGTTGTCTGATTGCTGTGGCTAGGAGTTCCAGTACTATGTTGAATAAAAGTGGTAAGAGTGGAATCCTGGTCTTGTTCCTGATCTTAGGGGAAAAGCCCTTAATTTTTCCCCGTAGAATATGATGTTTGCTGTTGGTTTTTCATACATGGCCCTTATTATGTTGAGGTGTGTTCCTTCTAGACCTATCCTGTTGAGTATTTTTATCACGAATGGATATTGTACTTTGTCAAATGCTTTTTTCTACATCTATTGAAATGATCATACGGTTTTTATTCTTTCTCTTGTTGATTGATAATATCAGGTAAAGCATTACTTTCAGTACAAGAAAACTGTTCACAAAGTTACATCATACAAGCTTTTGAATTGTGCTATAGCTATAAATTTAGATACTCATTTTTTTGCCAGTTTATGTTTATATTATTCAACACTGAAAGTGTGAACTTGATTGCTTCTGATTTTTCTTACTTTAATGTACTTTTATATAGATACCTCTTAGTGAGTTTTTAATGTCATGTGAATTTGGTAGTTTAAGATTTACTGAAATAATGAAGTATACATATAAGTTATTTTATAAATTGAAAGTGTTTTAAATACTTAGCCTTAAAGACTATTTTTTTTTAATGTTTTATTTTCATTTTTAAGAGAGAGAGAGAGCACGCTAGCAAGGGAGAGGCAGAGAGAGAGAGAGAGAGAGAGAGAGAGAGAGAGACAGAAGCTGAAGCAGGCTCCAGGCTCCAAACTGTCAGCACAGAGACCTATGCAGGGCTCAAACTCATGAACCGTGAGATCATGACCTGAGCTGAAGTTGGATGCTTAACCGACTTAGTCACCCTGGAGCCCCACTAGAGACTATTTTAAAAGTTTCTAACACTAGCCAGAAAAGTAGGTAATTAAAGTTAATTCTTCCCCTTTTTTGAAGTTTGATTTCATGTAAATCTTCACATAAAATTATAGTTTTTCCATTATGTTAAAACTGAAAGAGATATCACACCATGGGAATATGTTTTATACCAAGTTAATAAATAAAAACAAAGTAGTTTTATTTTTCATTGTGACTCATTTATTATTAACTGCAACTTTCATTTTTTTTGAGTTAGGAATATATGTGAATATTAATGACCAACAGCAAAATTGTTAAATTGGAAAAATAGTCATAACATTAAAGACAAAATAGAGTAAAAGATTAATAACTCTGCCTGAGATAGTCAAAGTAAGGGAAGAAGAGCCAGGAAATGGAAAAGATCCTAAATTAAGAAATACTTTTTAGAAGCACATTAAAATGGAGTGATTCTAGTTGAAGAAATGAATGGTAAATCAATAATGTATCTTTTTATATGAATATAAGACACTACATTATTTTTTGTTTGCTGTACAATAAGATCTTGATGAAGGCCAAGGTATTATATACCATATTTGAAAATCACTAACAACTAAGGAAATATGAATATTTTGTGTTTTTAGTAAGGTAGAGTTTAGGTATGATTTTCTAGCATAATATTCATGTAATGGGCTATATACAACAAATCTTTATTCTCTAAATTTCTTAATAGAAGCTAATCGTATTCAGTGCCTACTGTTGACAGATAATTCACTTGGTAATTTCAGCTGTTTCACTACCACTTAAACAAAAAAACCCAATGCATTGTATAACTCTTTGAGATTTAAGAAAGCTAGCACATTTAGGTAAAACAGAAGTAATTTTTTTTTCCTCTGTAGTTATACAGGGCTGTTGGAGCAGTGGTAGAGAACACTGTGTGACATTTGTGATCTGGCATATCAGTTATTCATGGCTAGAGTAAAAAAAAAAAAAAGTCCATGTATTGAATGTAGATGGACCTATTAGAATATTTGTAGAGTATTCAAATATAGGTAAGTTCATACTGCCATGGTATGTCATACTGCTTTGGTTAAACATTAACTATTTAGTTTAAAGTTAGATGTGGAACATCATGTGCAGTCATATCATACTTTGACTGCACATCTCCTCATCTTCAGGTCTCATTCATTCGTATATTCAGCACTGAGTTTTATTTAGTAAGTTGCAAATACTGTGATGTCTCCTGATAATGGCAGAAATTTAGTCCTTGCCCTCAGAAGCTTATTATTCTGTGATAGAGACTGATAAGTAAATGTAAAATTATAATTTTTCATAAGTGCTGTAGTAGAGGTATGTTCAGTGTCTGGTGGGAGTACATATATTTGCTGACCTTAAGAAAGTAAAAGTAGTTCTGTCAAATCAAAAGGAAATAATCATAAAATGAACTAAAGGCATGATCTGACTTTCGTACTTACTTCAATGTTTAAAAAATATCAGTTTGTCATTTGTTGATTGAATTGGTTTTTGTTTGTTTTAGAAGACACTAGAAGTAGTTACTTTATATGAAACAGAATGAACTACTTTATACTGTGTTGTGCCGTGATTGACTAATAGTATGCATGCTGATGCTTTTGGTTCATTAACCTCATTAACCACTTTTTTTTTTTTTAACTTTTTAAAACCTTACTGATTTACCACCTGATTAAAGCATGGGATTTTTAACAGTATTATACATAACATTTTTTACATTGAAAACTTTATCTAGCATTTCATATTCTATAATTCTGCTTATTCTTTAAAAATCTATGCATCCATTGGGCAAGGAATACCTTTCATTAAATTATAATATTAAAGGCACTTAATTATCATGTACAGATTAAATGTAGCTATTAATTTTTAGGCATTTTAAGTAGGGAAAAGATACCTTTTGTACATAAAGACACATTTGATGCAAATATGAAGATCAAATGTTTAAAAACTTAGAACACTAAGAAAAACTACACCTTTGATAAATATCTTTTTTTGAGAACAAAAAAAATGTCTTTTTTTTTAGATTTAGATATAGATTCTTTTACATATTCAGCTTTGGTTTCTTTGTTTCTCAAACTACAAAGCTGCTGATAGCAAAACTCCAGGATTTCATATGAGTTCAAGCTATGTCTACCTTAACACAAATGTTAAAATAAAACTCAGAAAATGCTGTATTAAGGACCCAGCTTCTTCTCAACCAATTCTAGACCTGGGCTGACCATATAGTAACTTTGATACCCAGGTGGCTATTGAGCACTTGAAAGGGAACTAATTGAAATTGAGATGATTTATAACTTCAGAGATAGTCATTAAAAAAAAGAAAAAGTCAAATGACTCAATTTTTGTGTTGATTACGTGTTAAAATGATAATCTATACAAATAAAATGCATATTAAACTTAATTTTGTCTGTTTCTTTTTACCTTTTTTAACATGACTGCTTAGAGAATGTTTGTTTATGTGGCTCACATTATATTTCATCGGATAGCACTGTTCTGTACAAATGGTTCTCAAACTTTAGGGTACGTAAAGATTATTTGGAAGGATTTTTTTTAAGTTTATTTATTTATTTTGAGAGAGAGAGAGAGAGAGAGAGAGAGAGAATCCCAAGCAGGCTCCATTTTGTCAGTGCAGAGCCTAATGCAGGGCTTGATCTAATGAGTTGGGAGATCATGGCCTGAGCCTACATCAGGAGTCAGGCACTTAGCCAACTGAGCCACCCAGGTGCCCCACTTTGGAAGGATTATTAAAACACAAATACTTGGGCTCTATCCTCAGGTTCTGATTCAGTAGCTTTATGTGGGGCCCAACAATTTGCATGTTTAATAAGCTCCCAGAGGATACTGATGTGCTAATCTGTAGATCAAACTTTAAGTAACAAGGTTCTAATGTAGACAATATCTTTTTAGTGGGGTTGAAAAGAATGTCTAGGGTGAATCAAAGGCCACATCAGTGTTGACACAATCTGTTAGTTGGTTTAATCTATAAATAAAACACTGTCATACTGTTTAGAGGAATTTAATTATGAACTTTGTGCTAGACCTTTGAAGAAAGATTTGTGGAATTTTGTCAAAGACTCTAACTTAAAAAAAAAAAGTGAGTATATATTTGTCATTGTGTTATTAAGAAAATGAAGAGAAAAATAAAAGCAACTGTTTGTCCTATGGGAAAGTAAGATTCAACCTATCATCTCTAAGACAACAGAATTTACTTACATATCTAAAGAAAGAAGGAAAATTGTCATAAAAAAAATCCATACAGTTATAAAGATACAATTGTGTGTGGCACAGAGCGATCTTTTATCTAAAGTATTTGCTTTTTTCTTAGATATTTTCTCTCATTTCTGTATTCTTAAAAACAGTTAAGCAGTGGATGATGAAATTAGAATGGGGAGAAAGATAAGGTAGAGAAAAGTCAGAGAAGGAAGGGGACAATAGTAGAGGATGGAAGAGAATAGTAAATAATAATAGAAAGCAGTGAGGACATAGATGATTATATTTAAGGTTGGGAACAATTCTTGTAGTGTCTTCTGTTATACTTGCAGACCTGTTTGGCTAACTATTTTCGGGGCCAAGGAAGGTGTTTGTTCATGGAAGGTGTTCAAATAGTTACTCAGGCTTTATGAAGAGCTCCATTATTTTTAAGAAAATCCCTTTGTTTTTCTTTTTCTTTTTTTTTCTTTCTCTTTCTCTTTTTCCTTTTTTTCTTTTTTTCTTTCTCCTTTTCTTTTTTCTTTTCTTTTTTCTTTTCTTTTCTTTTCTTTTCTTTTCTTTTCTTTTCTTTTCTTTTCTTTTCTTTTCTTATAGACCTAAGACTAGAAAATACTTTTTAATATTGATTGTTCATCCTTGCAGTTGCCACTCTTTGGTCCTATTTGTAGCTCCTAGATAAACAAACTATATTTCCTCCCTAACAGACCTTATTTATTTGGAGATAACTATCACATTTCTCATTTCCTCAGTTGGTCTTTGTATGACAAAGAGACAGTAGTATATTGATATAAAGTGATAGAACCAAGGTTGAGAATATTTTTTCCTACTATCTGCATGGCATGTGTGTGTTCTTCCTTAGAAATGTTTAGGAGGATAAGATGATCCTCTTTTCTAGGGGCAGAGGTTTATTAGGGTTCTCAAGAGAAATAGAAACAATAGGATATATGTGTGTGTATCTATACATACGTGTGCGTGTGTGTGTGTGTAGGGGAGAGAGAGATTTATATTAAGAAATTGGCTTACTTGATTATGGAGCCTGGTAAATCCAAGATCTGCAGGGTTGGTTGGCAGGATGGAAACCCAGGGAAGAGCTAATGTTGCTGTTCAAATCTGAAGGTTGTCTACTGGCAAAATTTCCTCTTGCTCAGGATGAGGGGAATAGGGTAGGTGGAGGAGTGGGGAGAAAGGGTTAGGGAGGTTAGTCTTTTGTTTCATGTAGGCCTTTATCTGATTGGATAAGGTCTAGCCACGTTTAGAGGGCAATTAGCTTTACTCATATTCTATGCATTTAAACGTTAATCTCATCCAAAAACACCCTCACAGAAACATCCATAATAAGGTTCCAACAAATATTTGGGCACTGTGGCCCAGCCAAGTTGACACATAAAAGTAACCGTTACAGGGGTACCTGGACGGCTTGTCAGTTGAGCATCAGAGCTCTTGGTTTCGGCCCAGGTCCTGGTCTCATAGTTCCTGGAATTGAGCCCCAACTTTGGGCTCCACACTCAGTGTGGAGCCTGCTTGGGATTCTCTCTTTCTCCTTCCTCTCTGCCCCTCCCTGACTCCTACACACATGCTCTCTTTCTCCCTCTCTCAAGATAAATTTTTTTTTTAAAGTACCCATCACAAGTGGAATATGTATTCTACTGAAATATCAAAATGGATTGTGTGGCATAATACTTATGTTTTGGGATAGCTGCTAGTGAAGAATGATGCCATTAGTATTAGAACTTTCCAGAGAGGAATCTATAACTGATTTTACTGAGGTTTTCCATGACCTCTGTTTTTTAATATTCATTGGGATAAACCCAAAAATGAGGCTCAAAAAGGCAGAGTAATGGGCTTTTTAAAAAGACATAAATTCAAAGTCTAGGTTTTAGCACACAATGTTCTGTG